GGGGCCTCATTTGGGAAGGCTCAGAACACTTAATTCTTTCTTATTAATAAGCCTCGCCGCTACACTTTAAACCAGGGGCTTTCATTTCCTGGTCCTGGATACCCACACATCTGCTGGTTTTTGTTTGTGCCTAGCTCAGTTACACAACTGAATCCTTAATTGAGAAAATTATTGAACCGAGTTGAACTGTTTGAGTATTCTCTTAAACTTATTAGAGATCATCTTGTAAATGTTAGTAAATGTTAACTTTGTTAAACTTTGTTAAACTTTTGAGAAGAAGCAACTTGCAAATATTCCAATCAAGAAACATGTTGGTTCAATTATACTTTGATTAGGTAATTAAGCTAACATTGAATGAAACCCAGCAGGTGTAAGGGAATCCGGGACTAGAATTTGGAACTCCTGCCATAGGTGATGAGAAAACTGGCTCTATGCTTTGGGGAATCAAGTGTAACTTTTATCTGTCTTTTCCAATGTTTTTATGAACCAATATTAACATAAAAAATATAGAAAAAATAATTTAAATGTTTTATTGAGTTTAACAAAGAAGAATAAAAATTGCAAAAATATTCTTCAGATAACTCTATCCCAATGTGTAACTGTGTGTTTGTACAGGCCTCCATGCTGCCCCCAGGGTCCCACTGCAGAATGACATCTTGAAACAGGGGCCTCCTGAGACCAGCCAGAAGAAAATCATCGAGCACTCCAAGGCTCATGGTGAGAGAGAAAAAAAGAGTAAAGGCAGACTGAAATACAATATACAGCCACATGTCCTCTGAATTCATTTCTGGAACACCATATTCCACATCAAAGCTGACATTTGGCCTGCATTATGTTTTGAGTATGGAGTATTACTTCAAAGCACATACATACTAATAACTCTTAGTATTTATATAATGCCTTTAAATGCAAAAAAAAAAAATAATTGCTTTACATACTGTATAGGAAGAGACCCACTTCATCTACCACTGAAGAGCAACACAGCAGAGTAATGGGCAAAAGCCATTTTGAGCCAGTAGGATTTTTAATGACCAAGCAGGCAAGACCACAGTTAAATATCTCATTTGAAGGCTGGTATGTCCTATAGCACACATCTCCATTCAACATACTTAGACATTAATTTTGAAAAGCTAGTCCAGAAGGAAAAATACCACCTACTGGCCCTTCAACGCTACTTCCTGCAGCATTGGCTCTATTTAGATGTCTGACAAAGCCTAACCGTGGTCAGCTTCTGTGATGTGATGAGAGGCTAGAAGGTAGTAGTGCTGCTGACTGCAGTTGACATGAAGTTGCTCAAGCAGTTAACTTTAACTGCACACAAGTTGAGCTCAATGGCCCAGATGTCATGAGTTTGATCCTGGGTCACGTCACTATCTGAGTGTAACCACAAGCCCCCAGATGGAGAGGAACACTTTTCACAGAGTGAAATTTCCAAAAGTGACTCCTGAAATTTCCCAGATGAGTGCAGGGTTGGAGTAAGTAAGAAAGGCACCATTCATCCAGTCGGTGCTCTACAAATTTAGCAGCACATCAAAAGTGAATAGGCACTCACTTTCCTCAACTGCAGCACAAGAGTTGTTATCATTAACTGTAAAAGAAACAGTGAGTATGAAATGAAACATAAAAAATGTTCAAATATACTGTCCTTCTACAGGGAGCTCTATAGATTATCGCAGACAGGGCACTCAGCCTTCTCGGGCCATACTGGTGGACATGATATCAGGTCTTCCCAGAATTCCTGCCAGTGAAATGGAGAGGAACTACAGAACAATAGGTGAGCAAATCTCTTGTTGAACTATATTTTTAGTGTAGAAAAGAGTCATATACAGCAGTTTATTCTAAAAGCCATGTTGATTACACTGTAATATCTATATGCTTTCCACTGTACTGGTGGACATAGTTTAGTTTAATAATGGTGTACATTTTGTTTTAGGTTTTAGGGAAGGTTTTAGGCCTTCCCAGAACTTCTGCCAGAAAATGGTCAAGAACTACAAGACCAAAAGTGATTGAGACACCAGAAGCTTAATTCATAGCTTAAGATATTTTGTAGGGAATGTGTCTGTAACATCTGCAGGTGTTGCTTGCAGCACATTTGGTGATGTGTCTCTCTCTGTGTTCAGATCTCAACAAGGCCTCTATAGACCTGTTCAGACAGGGAACCCAGCCCTCTAGGGCCGTCCTGGTGGACCTCAATACAGGGCTCCCCAGGTTACCACTCAGCGAGATGGACAGGACCTATGTGCTGTCAGGTGAGTCAGACAGAAGGGATGAAAAAAGGAAGAACAAAGAAACTTAAAAAGAATGCCAGGAAAAAAAGTGCAAAGAAAGATCTTCTGGTGTACCCATAAGAGTGTGTTATAATCTTTAGTTTTTAGTGGGAAAACTCATAGAGGGAATCTTCAGGACTCACAGGGCCTTACAACAGGAAACTGAAACTCTATATCTTTCTGGAAAGCACTTACACCACTTCCCTTCATTCTTTGAATGTGCTCTGATGTGTTTTGGAATTTGTTTTACAGAAAAGGAAAAATTTGAAAATCCATTTCTATACCATTTATATTACTGGACCAACAAACATTAGTGGCTTCATTATATAACAAAGAAAATGTACCTTGTTGTTCACTGATATTGTTGGTTGTCTGTGTCCAGGGCATAAAAATGAAGGTGAACATCTTGAGATCACTGAACTGAAGGCACCAGCCCTGATTAAAGGTGAGGCTCACAGGATACTAAGTGACTGTCCAGAAGTCCAATATGAGACCAATAAACAGGCAGCGCTTTGGAGCAGTGATTATGATTCTGGGCTTGCATCTGGAGGGTTGTGGGCTCAAATCCCAGGTGATATAGCAATTCAGTCTTCTTCAGTTAGGTGATTCACCTGGATTTGTCTGGCAAAATACCCACCTGTATAAATTGTGTAAAAATGTAAGGTGCTTTGATAATCATATCAGCCAAATGAAACAACAATACAGTAAATGAAGGCCCACTGCAGTTTGATACCATTGTATTTGTCAGTGAATTCAATCCAGTGGGCATTTGATTCAGAATCTATGGAAAGTCTAATATTACCACTGATTTCAAACACCAGTTATTTATAACCTTTTAATTTACCTCAAATCTGGTTGCATTGAAAAAGTATATTGTAAGGAACCATCTTTCCATCACTCATCAAAACCACATTATCTTTTCTTCCTTAAAGGATAAGAATTAGATTTACTAACTGTTCAAAGACAAAATAACATTGATATAAAAGCATCAGAACATATCTTTTAAAAAGCTGTTTGGTGTCCTTCATGTGTACCTCATGTTGCCTTTGAATTTAGAAACAGCAATACAAATGTAAATTGAGTGTCAGGGGAAAATCCCTGCTCTTGAATTCCCTGAACTTGAAGCCAAATCCTGCACTCTGAATGACTGGGACTCAGTTGTACTTTAATAAAATTAAACATTATCCATCCATCCATGTGTTCTTAATGTGGACTGATGTTTTTCTAATGTAATGACAATTTACTGTTGTATTTGAGGTAAAACACTCTCGCTCCTTTGCTTCGTTTTAAAACAGGAAGATTTCAATGATGCTCAAGTCAGTCCTATCCCAGTGTTTAACTGTGTATTCTCTTGTATTTGCACAGGCCTCCATGCTGCTCCCAGTGTTCCAGTTAGGAATTACATCCTGAATCAGGGGCCTCCTATGTCCAGCCAGACCAAAATCATTGAGCACCCCAAACCTAATGGTGAGAAAGAGAAAGGGAGAGGAAGACAAGAAATATATACAATATACAGAAACATGGGGATTAGATGCTGAACCACATTTTTAGAAGCAAGTCTAAGGTGTAAAATGGATTAGTCCATTTATTATGTGATTTTATTGACATACATACTGTCCTTCTACAGGGAGCTCTATAGATTACCGCAAACAGGGCACACAGCCTTCTCAGGCCATACTGGTGGACATGATGTCAGGCCTTCCCAGAATTCCTGCCAGCGAGATGGAGAGGAACTACAGGACAACAGGTGAGTGAGGTGGGGGAAGAAAACCTCATTTGTGCTTCTGGGATGGGGGGAATGTGGTATTGGGAAGATTTATCACTTTATTTTCTGGCTTATTATTAATGTTCAGATCTTTCCTCCTTTATCTCTTGAATTGTATTTCTTAATCTAGAAAAAACAAAAAGGCAGAGTCATATACAGTTCAGCAATTTATTCCAAACAAAACGATTCACAGTTTATTCCACAGTTGAACTAGTTAGTGTATTATTTTCAAACTATATCTCTTCCTATTCCATTACTCATTAAATGTAAAATTGCTGTGTATTCCATCAATATGACAATACTATATTTCCATTCACTGCCACAGGATAAATGTATTATGTGTGTACAACATATAAATCGAAAATGTTTGCAAAATATTAGGCTATATTTCATGTTACAAATACATAGGATGCTAACACCTGGGCAATGTCATATAAATAGAGATGCAGTTATATTTACAGATAAGTGAATATATTAATGTGAGCCAAGGCAGACAGCCAACACAGAAAGTGAAATGGATTGTTAGGAGGATTGGTAGTGCTGAAAACATAGTAAATAGTTTGAATGTGATGAAAGAGATTTGGGGATGGTAATAATATCTACTTTCCCTGTTCAATTTTATTTTGTTTTATGAGCTATATTTCTTCCCATAAAAAAAATGTAAAGAGACATTTGTTATTCTGGAGAATAAGAAACATTTAAGATGTGTCTCAATGACTCCTTCTTTGCAGGATTAACTAAAAATAAGTTTTCCAAATTGGTAAATACCTCTATACTTTTTCAGTCCCTTTGTCCTGATGATGGTCATAGCTTGTTTAAAATCCAAAATGACTTTATAATTTCTATTTTGTGCAGTCAGTGATGTCTTGATAATGACCTGATAACTCTCATTCTGTGACACTGAGCTATAGCTCCATTAATCTTGCAGTTAATGGACAAATAATTTTCTAACAAAAAGGCCTCCACTTTACTCATTTACTAACCAGAGCCAGTTATGTGTTCCGAGTTGTGCTGTAAACTGTTTTTCAGCTCACCTGCAGACCCAAATCAGACACAAAAAAGTGCTTTAGATCATTAAGGAAGACAGCTGGTGTCTGAAAGATAAAAAGTAATTTGAACATCTAGGTTTCCCTTTAATTTGTAGCAGATGTGTTGTTAGTGTTTTTCTATGTTCAGACCTCAACAAGGCCTCTATAGACCTGTTCAGACAGGAAACCCAGCCCTCTAGGGCCGTCCTGGTGGACCTCAATACAGGGCTCCCCAGGTTACCACTCAGCGAGATGGACAGGACCTATGTACTGTCAGGTTAATCAGAGAAATGGGAGGGAGAAAGGTGGAATGAAGGAAAACACAAAAAACAGTGCAAACAAAAAAGATGAATGCACTTCCAGTATTCCCATAAGTGCACAACTGAGACAAATAGTGACTCAGACAGAGAGAAAAAAAGATTTGTATGTGATCTCAGTCATCCCTGTTTGGTTGGAAATCTAAGGAAAGCAAGCTGATGCCCTGTGGCACTTTGTCTTTTCACAAGACACTTCCTCACCAATGTCCTTTCACAATATCATTGTGTTACTCTTTTTAAAATTATTTATAATATCATTGTCAAAGAAAATTAGTTTGTTTTTTTCACTCTACCAACAAAATCTTTAGCTACTTTAAAGAATGAAGAAGATTTTTTCTCTGATGTTGGCTCTCTTTTTCCAAGTCACAACAGTGAACTTGTGCAAACTGATGTGACTGAACTAAAGAGACCTTCCTTAATCAAAGGTGAGGCTTCCCAGATACAGAATGACTCTCCTTGTACCCAGCATAAAACCATAGGAAGGGGTGTGCCAGAAAATAAAACCCAAATGGATTCACAAAATGTAGCTTTGTACATTCATGCCCAACCTGAAACATTTTGTGTCAAATCTTTGCCCATTTAATGAGATTATCTGACACAAAACACCCTCCATCCTCCTCATATAGTACTTTCCAACATGTTACATGTGTTGTCATTGTTGTGGTTAAAACAAAAAAGGTAAATAGTGTTAAAAAAACAAAATAAAAGCATTTGAACTTCCTCAAGTAACTCTTACTATACTAGTAGCTGTTGTCCTGAAATATTTAAATGAATCTCCCAAATTTGAAGCCTTTGTTTTCTAAATAGTAAAGCAAAAGACAATAAATGGAAATGTTTTATGAATGGAACCTTCTTTCTCTGTCTCTCCCTTTCTTTCTCATCTTTCTTACTTTCTCTGTTACCCACAGAGTCAGAGCGGTGCCAGGGACAGGTCATTGATGGCAAGTGTTACCAGTTCTTTGCCAGCCCACGGACCTTCAGTGAGGCGGAGGTGGGTGGAAACTCAGGCAATCTGCTAACGTGAACGGTGCAGTCCTGTTAGCGAAACAGCAGGCAGCACATATTAATGTTACACCGCAGAAAACCAGGGACTGAGGCGGGCAGGTTTCACATACATCTGCTCTTTATTGTGTATAACTCGCAACTGACACAGAATTGCACAAAACCCGCCAAGTACTGTAAAGCAGTAACCCCCTAAACCCAAAGCGCAGCAGCATCGTAAACCCCAAACAGACGCTGTGCGCAACATAACAGTTAACCCACCTTTTTTGCATAAATGATGTAACTGATAGATTTATTAGTTATGAAATCTAATAACTCCCTCAAGTCCATTTTTTTAAATTGTCTTTACACTTTTTGTTGATTTACAGCGATGATTTCACCATATTTAGTTTCTAATTGTATAATTAGTCACAGCTCCTATGGCAATTGTCTCCACTAATCATCACTAATATTAGAGTGCCTGCAGTAATGTTTGTAGGCTAATGACTGAATGACAGGCTTCCAATGGTTGAATGTGGGGCTCCAAAGGTTATGCAGACAAGAAATCTCCAGGCTCTGAATCGGGGGAGCCCAACTCCAGTCCTCTAGGACCACTTCCTAGCAGATTTTATAGGCTTCCCTATACCCCAGCCTTTGAACAAAAAAGAAATGTGTCAACTTGTCTAATTAATCTAATAATGCATTTAATAATAATAATTGCTTACGCTTATATAGCGCTTTTCTGGACACTCCACTCAAAGCCCTTATTTAATTAAGCAATTATAATAATAATAATAATAAACTTTATTTTATATAGCGCCTTTAAAGGTGGCTTCTCAAAGCGCTTTACAGGATGACAATAACAATAAAAAAGAAGACTACAACAATAAATAAGAAAATTTCACAAGACAGGACACAATTATAATTACAACAATACAACAATAACAATAGA